CTGTTCCCGGATTTCGAAATCAGTATGAACGCAGCCTGAGTACGATGAATGTAACAAAAAGACTCACTAGATTTCAAATTTTCAAAGGAAAGCACTACACTTTGCAAAAATACATAATCCTCAAAACAACCTTTCTTATGTCAATATCACAGCTCATGATGGACTTGTATGTGGTCTCATGGATTCCTTTTGAATCTGATCCAATGTAAGAGGGTGCAAAGAGTATTTCCGGACAGCGGAAACGCTCGTTTCCTAATGTAATGATCTATTTGCAGTTTCACATGTAGATCAAGATCCTGCTTATTTGACTCTTACCTGCCCATCAGGAGCTTCGTAGTTCTTCTCCAATAACGTCGACTGACTGGAAATGATAAGTTCTTGCTTAAAATCGGGTGCAACATAGCAGAGCTTTTCCTTGATGTCCCTAACTGTTTCACGTTCGGCTAAACGACAGCTTTCACAATTTCAGCTATGTTTGATCATCATTGCTAGTGAACATTCAGATTAACTTACGCACCCGTGGTAGTAAAAAAATAGCCGCGCTCGGTAAGAATTCTCATCATGTAGTCTGTAAGGTCACGACCGGCCATGTCAATCCTCTTGGCAGCGTGAGGAAGAAAATAGCCCTGAAAATAATACCGAAAACCAAAACATCAATCAGCTCCACTATGCAAACCTGATAAATGGGCACAATGTTGGTAAGACCGTCACCAATTTCAAGGACGACACTGCTAGTACGGCCGAATGCATAATGTGCTAACACAGCTTGGGTGCTTACGTACATAGCTGGAGTATTGAAAGTCTCGAACATAATCTGCGTCATCTTTTCTCTGTTGCCCTTTGGATTCAAGGAAGGCTCAGTGAGAAGCACAGGATGTTCTTCGGGTGAGATTCGAAGCTCGCTATAGAAGGTGTGATGCCAGATCTTTTCCATATCGTTCCAGTTAGTGACAATACCTCGCTCGATCGGGTAATGAAGTGTAAGCGCGTCTGGAAAATATTTTCCATGGAACAGAAATAATCAATGAGATGCAGCAACCTCTCCTATACTGAGCCTCATCTCCAACGTACAAGCCTTTCTGCCCCATTTTAACCACTATTTGATGTCTGGGACGTCCAATTATAGAAGGAAAGACAACTTGTGGCGCCTCATCACCTGCAAACCCAGCCTTACACACACCTGATCCATTATCTATCACGACGGGTGCGATTTCGGCTTCCATCTGAAAACACAAGGATTGTTTAGCAAACGAAAAAAA